ACAAAAAAAAAAAAACACAAACATACCCCACCCCCCCCCCCCCCCAAAAAAAAAGAATATAAAAAAAGTAACAATGCAAATGAAACCAAAACAAAACCACACCAATTCCTGCCTCCCAAAAAATTAACAAAAAACTAAATACAAACAAAACAAAACCAAACCCACACCAATCCTGCACCCTAAAAAAAAAAACAAAAAAAAACAAAGCAAACCAAAACCAGACCAACGAAAACAAAACAAAACCTCAACAAAGCCAACCAAAACCAAACAACCTCCCACCAAAAACAACAACAAAAGCAAACAGAAAATGGAAATAAAACCATACAAAACTAACTAAATAAAAACAAATTTAATTAAATAAAAACTAAATAATATAATATACATAAATATATTTTAGTTAAATATACACATATTTATTGTTGGCTATTTTATTTGTTTTAGACCACAGGGTTCAGGTACAGTGGGTGGGTTTGAGGAATGGGTGAGCAGGTGGGATGCATCCATTTTTCCTTATCCCAGCATCCCATTCTCTTGCTGAACAATAACAACGAGCCTGTAGTTTGTGTATTGAAGATAACAGTTACAGCCACATTAAGGTAACAAATGACACTCCACTCAAACCATTTATTTTGTAAACAGACAAATGACCCAAGACGTGCAATAAGAGCACTCAGGTTCAGCGTTTTACAAGCGCTGTCCCCCTCAGTCATTGTTGCGCTGGTCATCAATCCAAAACATTTTACCCTCAATGACAAATAACAGCTGTTTGTAAGGCGTACCGACAAACAGCAGCGGAAGTAGCTCTGCAGACTGCTGGCGACATCCATTGCGTTGGATTTCTGAATCTGTGAAATATATTAGAATTTATATTATGAAATGATGTTAAAGTATACATTTTTATCAGTTAATGTGAAATGTATTTACAATATTCGCTGGATAAATAAAGATTCCATTTTAAGGTTATTTCTTGAGATAATATTCCATGATATTTATCAAGTGGATTATTTATTAAGAGGACTTACCGGTATATGAGCAGATGAAAGATCTCTCTGCATTTCTGTAGTGATCCTCTGACCTATGAGGAGAAGATCAGTCACACTCTGACGCATCCCATCCCGCAAAGAATCCACAACTGACCTCTAAAGAGAAAGAGAATGGTGTTGAATTTTTGATTCTGACTGGTTTTTAATGTCAAACCTACTATTGGGCTGTAAACGTCAGCTTGCAAAAGAAATATACCCACGTTGTCTATGATTTCTGAACCATGTTCAGTCAAATGAAGATCAGTCCCATTCACTGCCGCCAGCAAACCGATGGTTTTGAGAGCCACGTTCATACACTTGGCAACCTTCCTCTGGGCCTCTGTTACCATGGAGGAGATCTCCGAGTCACAGCCCTGAAAGACCAAAACACAGAAATACCAACACTCTTAGAAGGCTTTTACTGAAAATTCCAATGTTGATACTTAGCGCAACAAAATTCTTTAAAACGACTTCTGTTTTTTTAAATAATATATAATTGCATTTGTAAAATTGTAAAATACTTCCATAGGGGCAATTTAAACCAATATATAATCAGGTGAGAAATCAAATAAATTGATTATTAAAATGCCTAAATGTGCACAACAATTAAATAAATATTAATATATACAGCTGATTTACTTCATTTTACTGCTAGATATACACTCAATAATCAGTTTAAAGGTAAGTCAGTTAAATTAAAAAAATATTTGTAAATACAACCAATAATAATAATAATAAAATTAAAGAATTTATAATTATTATTATATTCTTTAAGTTTTTTATTATTTATATGTAAACAATGTATTGTTGTTGTTGTTGTTATTATTATTATTAAGTGTATTTATCAACATTTTGACATTTCATTATATATTTTTATTTGATTGGAACTGATTAAGTGGTTTAAATTTGACTTAATTGTATATCATAATATTTTTTTTAATTTTGTTTAATTTAAAGAAATATTCAGATATACAGGCAAATTTAAAACACTTAATCGGTTAAAAAAATATAAAAAAAATTAATGTAAAGTCAAAATGTTGGTAAATGTGACGTGACATGTGGCCAAGCATGGTGACCCATACTCGGAATTAGTGCTCTGCATTTAACCCATCCAAAGTGCACACACACAGCAGTGAACACACACACACCGTGAACACACACCCGGAGCAGTGGGCAGCCATTTTTGCTGCGGCGCCCGGGGAGCAGTTGGGGGTTCGGTGCCTTGCTCAAGGGCACCTCAGTCGTGGTATTGAAGGTGGGAGAGCGCTGTACATTCACTCCCCCCACCTACAATCCCTGCCGGTACGAGACTCGAACCCGCAACCTTTGGGTTACGAGTCCGACTCTCTAACCATTAGGCCACGACGAAAAATGCACTCAACATTATAATAGTCAAGTTTATTTGTACAGCGCTTTTCACGATACAAATCATTGCAAAGCAACTTTACAGCAAATTAAGTTTCTACAATATTTAGTGGTAGCTCATCAGTGGTGACTGTCAATTAATGTACATATGGCAGAAATGTACGGAAAAATCGTCTGAGAGGAAATCTGCAAATTCTTTTAGGAAATCTGTATATGGCCCTGGTGGTCTATACACAGTAGCCAGAGCAAGAGATACGATAGATTTCTTTTATAATAATAATACATTTAATATTTAATTAATCTAAATTAAAGAAATATTAACATTTATTAAAAGTCTAAACAGACAAATATATTATTACTATTCTATTAGTAATATTTTTTAATTTTTGTGCAAAACTGATAAATTGACAAAAATTGATAAAATGATTAAGACATTATTTTTGATGAGATGATTGCATTTTTATTTTTTCTATGGTCCCCCTACAGAGCTAAAAGCGTCACATAAATGCAACTGGCATTAACTGACTATGAACTATAATGAGCACCTGAATGAGTAACTGAAGGTAGCCTCCAATTTTCTTGACCTCAGTCTTGAGCTCCTCAGCTCTCAGAGACACTGAATCAGAGCTGGGCTTAATGCTGGAGACCCAGTGCATGGTAATGAACACGGCCCTTTCAACAGCAGACGTGGCCTTCACTAGATGAGTCTGGGCTTCAGTACTGCAGGCAAACACTGTTCACATACACACAAACAGAACGAAATGAGGCTCTTTGTGAGGGCTGTGATGACATAGGTCTTGTGCATTCATATTGAGCTGAATATTGACACTGATGAATGGCTTTGTTGATTTACGGTTGACTTACGGTTCTCCTGACTGTCATCGTCAAGGTGCTCGTAGAGGTCTGCGATGGACCTCACGGCACGGTGAACCGCCAGCAGATCTAGGGTCAGTTTGTCGGCCAAGCTTTCGCTCTCCTCAGCTGATTGGCAGGAGCGCAGACGAGCAACGGCAGAGCCAATCAGACCTTTGCAGATGGCTGGGAGGGCGGAGTCAGAGGTGCTGGAGTGCAGAGAGGGGGGCTTGTTCATCAGCCCTAAAAAGAATATCAAAAGTTATTTAATTTCCAGGGGGAAACAGTCATATTTAAGCAGGTTGAAAAAAATCAAACTAGTCTGTTATTCTAGTATTAATTATTATTTCAGTATTATTTATGTACTATTATAGTTTTAAATATTTTTCTCTTTTAATGTTGTAAGCGCCGCTAGCAGCCGCAGGACTCTCGTGAATAAGCTTGGCTCGCCTGCTGCATCTCTCCAACTGAAAATGAACTGAGCTCACAGTTGCCGCGTAAACTGTGCAGTACAGAAGATGGGGGACAAAAGGGCCGCCCAAACATTCAAAACCAATGAATTTTTTACTCATGAACAAAAAATGTAAAAATTTAGTCAATTCAACATTGTTTGGACCCCACTGCCTTTCACTGTATTGACAAAAAACACTGAACTTTTCTTAAAAAAATCTTATCTTATTTTGAAGAAAGTCATACAGGTTTGAAATGACATGACGGTGAGTAAATGATGACAGAAACGTAATATTTGAGTGAATTATCTCATCAAAACTACTAATCTAAATGATGCTAAACTCATTTAAGGAGTCGAAGAGCCAGATACAATATAAAGGGTACTTTACCAGTGGACTGTGAGGGAGCACAATGCAGGCTTTGAATGGGGTGCACTCGGATCTCATAGAGACGGCCAGAAATCCTTCTGCTCTTTAGCAAACTTCTACTCCTGAGCCACAAGAAACAGAAAAAAAGAGATCCAGATACTTTTGAACTTATATCTTGACTTGAACCATCATTATCAGTCAGATAACTCTGATCCTTTAAAGGGGTCATATGATGCGATTTCAATTTTTCCTTTCTCTTTGGAATGTTAAAAGCTCTTGGTGCATAAAGAAGATCTGTAAAGTTGCAAAGACTAAAGTCTCAAATCCAAAGAGATATTCTTTATAAAAGTTAAGAGTCAACCACGCCTACCTAAAAGGGCTCGTTCTAACACGCCCCTAAACACATTTCATTACACCAAATACACAAAATAAAGTTCTTTTTAACAACATCATATGACCCCTTTAACAGCCGGTTACATGATGAACAATTTGAGTTGAATATTGTTTACTGTTCATTCCAAGGACTGAAAGACATGAGAGGAAGTCAAGGGGTGAAAAGCAAAGGCATACCTATGAGCTGTGAGAGAAAGGACTTAAGAGTGGTAGAAGGGGTTTTGATTCCCCAATACTGAATTTAGCTGTAGTCACATGGTCATGTAGGCAATGAAAATGGGTTAAAAAATGCTGCAGGAATGTGTGTTTCCATAGGGCTTGGTTTATAAGGGGAAAAATATCATCATGGTGTAAGACAAGAACCAGTGTTGGGCACAAAGTATGCTTCTGTTCTTTCGTTCCTCAACACAGAAGTACAGAGAGCCGAAGAGCAGCATCATGGACTCCATGAGAAGACTAATAAATTCAAATACCTTCTGCGAGAGAAAGACGAGGTTGAGGAAGAGGCAGATAGGTCTGGTTCCCACTCATCATTAGGGTCGTAAAACACGTCATCATCTTTAGAGGCGCTCTCCCCCTACAGCCAATAAACATCAGACTTGATTTAGCCACCGGTTCTTTTCGATAATAATAACAGCAAGTGCCCACTTTTAATGGGTAATTACAAGGAAATAAACGGGCTTCAAATTGCCTCATATATTGTTGTGTTCAAACAACTAAGCCCTGCGTTAAATACTCAGCACTTTGTTCAAATCAAGTATGGCGCAAATTTCCAATTTCAAGTAAAAGCTACACAAAAATAAAATACAACAAAGCTAAACGCTACATATAATGAAATAAAAACAACCAAAACTTTCCAATGTCAATTGACTTGCTACACAAAACAAAAACACTAAACATCACAACACACACAAAAAAAAATATATATATATAAAAAAAAATTATAATAATAATTTTAAACACTAAATTAAATAAAAAACACAATGTTGAGTGAAATGCTGCACAAATAAAAAAACACAATAATAATATGGCTAAGCACTATATAAAACCAAAATCAAAACTTTCCGATGTCAAGGAAAAAAACACTAAACAAAACACTAAACAATAAAAAAAAACTAAATGAAACAAAACGTTAAGAGATGCTACACAAAAAAAAACACCAAATAAAACCCCACCAATAACTAAATAAAAAACCAACCCAAAACCAAAAATAGATTTTAAAAAAACAACAACAAACCAAAAACTTCTGTAGCTATGTAAAGCAGAGTTTTAAAGCTGCAAAAACAGAAACCAAATCAGTAAATGGTTGCATCTAGTTAGAGACAAAACCTGGATTAACACTGAAGAGGATATCATTGTCACTATATGATGTCAAAAGGTTAGGACACAGTGTAATGCTGTAACTAGTTTGCTACAAATGCCACTATGCAGCAGGTTTACAGCTATTCATTAGGTGAACATCTTTTATTTAAGCCACCTGCTCAAGCTCTCTCATGGCAGCCAAGTTGCTCTGGAACTTCTCCAGACTCCAGAAGGTGGAAATTCCTAGTTTGGTGTTCTGAACTTGGACCTGCAGTTGGGCGTCTTCACCCTCGCTCTCTTTATCAGTTGCCTCATGTCTGTCATGAAAACACAAATCCACGTCTGATTCCATCCAAAAACTTTCATGTTTAATAAAGGCAGAATTTACAAACTACTCGCTCATAAACTAATTGACTAAACTCACACTTTTCCAGTCATTAGTGATTGCTGGACAGGGATTTTACATTTATTTATAAATGCTGTATTCAGAAAGAGCAATTTGTAGCCAACTAACTGGAATTACTTTTCCATAATAACAGGGGAATTAAATTCGCTATAGAAATTTCTTACTTTATTGTTTATTAATTTAATAATTTATTTAAATGTACTTAATATTAAATTAATTGAATAAAATGTTTTCTAAATTTCCTAAAATTGTTCCTAAATTTGCATGAATTCTGATTCTGGTTAATACTGTAACAAAGACAATGTTCCTGGATCAACAAATCAGTTACACCTGCTAATCAACTTGTACCTGCTGAAGACTGTGTGTTTCCTGAGATTGGCACTGATTTTGTTTGCTTCTTCAATCATCAAAGACAGCTTCAAGGCATCCCACTGTGGGTAGACTGCAAACATTGAACAAAAATATGGTGAATAACACACCGTTAAGAACATTACTGATGGAAAACTCTTTTAAATTTAAAGTGTGCATGTACCCGTTTTAGTGGCCTGGACCATTTTTTGAGCACGTTTTCTCTCAATCTGAGCAAGATCTTCTGCAATCTTCCTCTTCTCTGCTTCAAGCGCCTCTACAATTTTAGCATGCCGGATATCATGATCGGCCAATGCCTATGGAACAAATCTGAATTAGTCACAAATTAAAAGATGATGAAGCCATCTTTTGTATAAATGTTGCTAAATAATATAAAAACTAACTAAATAAAATACCTATTACTAAAGTACATAAATAATATAACTAAGCTTAATAAATAATATAACTAAACTAGCTAATCTAAAAAAGAATATGTAATATAATTGAATAAATAAACTGAAAATATTCAGAATAAATATAACTAAAATTAAAGCTAACTAAACATAACTGAATAAATATTATAACTAAAACTAAATAAATAATATAACCAACTAGCTAAACACATGATTAAGACTAAGTAACTAACTGAATAACTAAAACTAAATAACTAAACTAAATAAATATTACAAATATAACTAGCTAAATTAACTAAATGAATAACTAAACTAACTAAACAAAATGGATAAATATAACGGACTAAATAAATATTATACATAAATCTAAATAAATAACATTTAAATACATTTTATGAATCACCATGGACCACAGTTTCAGCTAAAAATCAGTTTTACTGTTTTACTGAAGAAGAAAAAAAGTCCTAGCTGGCCTGAGGGTGAGTAAATTAAGTGAGTAATTTTCCTTTTTGGGTGAACTATCCCTTTAAGAAAAAAAAGAGCATAAATTTTGATTTGAACTGATCTTTCTGTACCTGTCTAGTAGCCTGGGCCTCCATCTGCAGACGTCTCTTATGGGTGTTGACTTCCTGCTCCAGCATAGACTTTGCTGTCTGCAGTTGCTCTATCTGACCGACGACCCTCTTTTTATCCAGCTCCTGGTCTCTCTTCCGTTCACTCTCCTCCTCCTGACGAAGCATTTGATTAGCTGGAGACCACAGGAGTCACACACACTACACACTGACACGTATGCGAACAGCTTACCAGCTCTCGCTCCAGAGCTTTGATCCTCTTCTCGTACTGACTCTTCTGCTCGCTCAGCTCTTTCTGTGCCATCTCTTTTGCCACCTGAATGCCCTGCATCATCTCCTCTTTGGCCTTCAACTGAGCTGCCTCGATCTCCGCTTCAAGTCTAGAGAAAAATTTAAATCAAAATCAAAAACGGACCTCTCCTCATATGTTTTAGCCTTCTTTATAAACATTTTATTTGATTTACAGCAGCCAATTTTACAATTCTTAAGCATTTTCTCCCATTAAACCAAGTCAAATGAGTTCCTGTAAATAAATTGGTGAATATTGGGCTTGTACTCACTGAGCTCTCTGGGCCGACAGCAGCTCGTTTTTAGCAAACTCAAAGTCCTTTTGACCATCTCCACTGTTCCAACAGGACGCACGCTTCCCGCTCTGAACCTCAGCGGGGTGGTTGAACCGAAAATAGTGATCTCCTCCAAGAATCACACGGTCTCCCTGAAATAGAGAAGCAAAACTGAATAAACAAATAACCAATTTCACGATTTATGTGGAGGTTCTCAGAACAGAGGGCATTTCAGATGTTTCGCTTCAGAACAGCGACAGGAACTCACGTGGTGGAGAACGGTGCACTCAGGCACAAGATGTCCATTCATGAAGGTCTTGGCATTTGCCATCGGTTTAATGCTGACGGTACCTTTCACACTAGAGATGACACTGAAAATGCAAGTAAAAACAATATGACATATTGGAAATATATTGATTGATATTACATTTTAATTGTTTGTGCACAGCTACTAAATAACATTTAGATTACTTTTGTCATCATGTAACGCTCGCTGAGTTAATATTGTAAGCACTAATAATTTACTGTAAAACACTGTAAAAATGTAATCTTCATGAACAGCAAATCTCAAAATGAATGTCCATTTTTCATACTGTACATTCTAATGTTGTGATGCCCAAATTAACTAGCATTTAAAATGTTTGTTTAAGTGTTTTATTCTTAATTTACTTAGACCAAATAGTTTTGTTTGTGATTCTTTTGTTTTTTTTAACATCAGCCAATTATCCGTTATCTGTCATAACATAAAAAGACATTTCCTGTATGTCAGTAAATACATAAGCATTTTTTAGGGTGATTTTATGCCATTTTTGAAGATTAAAAATCTAATTTCTCATTCATTGTAATCGTACGGAAAAGAGCGACCAGCACATTCTTCAAAATATCTTCTTTCGTGTCCCTTTGAACAGCATTATTTATATACTATTATTAGTATTTATTAATATTTTAAATGAGGTTTTATATTAATTAGTTTTATATTTTGAGTTTTCTTTTTTATTTTAGTTTATGTTTAAGTAATTTTACACGAGTCTTATTTTCAGTTTTTAAGTTTAGGTATTTCATCTAATATATTGTTTTTTTATTTTATTTCAATTACTGATTTTAATAGCTTTAGTTGAAGGGATAGTTCACCCAAAAGGCAAATTCTGTCATCATTTACTGTCATTCCCAGATTGTATGAATTTCTTTGTACTACTGAACACAAAGGAAGATATTTTGAAGTATGTTGGTAACCAAACAGGTGACGGTAGCCATTGACTTCCATTATATGGGGAAAAAATACTATAGAAGTCAATGGCTACCGTCACCTGTTTGGTTACCAACATACTTCAAACTATCTTCTTTTGTGTTCAGTAGTACATAGAAATTCATACAGGTTTGGAACAATATGAGAGTGAGTAAATAATGACAGAATTGGCATTTTTGGGTGAACTGTTCCTTTAAATGTACAAGTCCAATCATTTTGAACATGAAATGCCTCCTTTAATCAAATCAAAAATGAAGTGAATGATGGAGTGGTAGTAGACTTGGGATGTGACCCGTCTCACCAGTGCTCATCAGCGATGAGAGCTCCAGACAGCTGGATGTCGTGGGCCGACTCAGACTTGAGCTTGCCGACCTTGGTCTCGCCCTCTTTAATCATGTACAGCAGCATCTCTGACAGCTGCGGATCCTCATTCAGGTTCACAAGGTTAGGCAGCCGATTGTCAACTTTAAAGGTGACGCCAGCGCGCTATAGGGGGAATTTAATTTACAGTGTACTCACAAATTATCCAAGGAATGACATAAACCGAAATAAGAAGTGAAAAGGTTTAAAGTATGTATTTCGTGTGAACACATAATCGTTGTCATACAAATCTGAAAGCAAGCAGTTGCGGCAAGCAAGCCACCCATCTAAATCAGATGAAGAAAAACGTTCACAAAAGACCCCGACTGTAAGTACATTAACATTATTAGTCTTAACTCTTAAATAACGCCTTTCATATTTCAAGTTTTTCCTACATTTTCCCGAGAAGTCTCCGGTGTAAAGGTATAACGGAAGTACAGATACACTGCTTTGCGGGAAAGCGGAAGTTAGCTGACGTCACTGTGAAAAGGGCCTATTGAGTCTGAGACCCCTGTAGAGAACACCAATCACTGAGGACGTCCCATTAGTGAATATCCTGCCCTCTAGAGGAGAGGTGCGGTGCAGTGTTTCTTATAACACACACCCTTCTTGACGGTTATGCCAGCTGACGGAGCATAAACATGGACAGACAGAATAAAGAGCTGTAACAGTTACTGACCGCGGATCAGTTTGGCATTGGTGTCCTCGTTGACTTTGGCTATGTTAATGATCATACGGGCCTGCTGGGCGTAGCGTAACGTGCTCAGGCTCTCATCCATGTTACTGGCCGCAGGGCTCAGGGTGGCGATCATGGCCGTCTTGGAGTTTCCACCAAGGCTTTCCTTGAGTAACCTGAACACAAGAGGGAGCTGAAGCACTTCTGCTGCTTTTGTCAGCAATAAATCTGGCATGTTATGACATAGATAATTTACAAATAAATGGTATTTTTGTGCACAATTCATTAGTGCCCATTTATTTTCACAATCTTTTATTAGAATGTTTAGTTCTTCTTTCTTTTTTTTCAGTTTATACATTAGAAAATTATCATTTAATTTTTTTTTATAATTTTGCTGCAAATTTATTTTCCACTTTTGCAGAGTAAACGAAGGCCACACTGGTGTGATATTAAATTGTATTATTATCATTATATAATAATGTAACTACATTAAATAATATGATTCTAATACTTTGATTACTATTATTATTATTATAAAAATGATTTTTTTATTATTTTCTTTTTATTTATTTATTTTTTTGTGTGTGTAATTTTCTGCACTTCTAAAAAATTTTTCCAACTTTTGCCAAGTACACAAAGGCCACATTGGTGCGATAAAATGCATATAAATATGTAAAATATATAAAAATGACAATGTTCATTAATGACAATGATAATTTAAAACATTTTGAATTATTATATTTATGCCATTAATATAAACATTATTATTATTATTATTATATCAAAGATTTTTTTTTCCCTTGATGAAATACTTAGGAGAAAAAAAACTGGGACAAAGGAAAAAAACATTACATTTTGTTTTCAATTACCTTTCTAGGTACAGAAAATAAAATAATAAAAATGACAATGTATGCATTTTTTATTATTATATTTATGAAATTAATAAACATTATTATTATTATTATTATTATATCAAAGATAAAAAAAATTCCCTTGATGAAATACTTTAAAAAAAAAAAACTGGGACAAAGGGAAAAAACATTACATTTTCTTTTCAATTACCTTTCTAGGTATGAAAAATAAAATAAAATAAAATAAAATAAATCTCACTGAAATTCCATGACATCAGGGCCATGGAAATGCATTACACTGCTGAAGCTGTGACTGCTGTTTTGTTTTGTGTAATACAAAATAACAAAACTGCAGTGAAATATAAAAATAAATCAATACAAATTCATAAGCAAAAGCTTCTCACCATGTGAGCACTGACTCTCTGTACGGGATGAAGACTTTCTTTCTGGTCTGAGCCTGTTCTGAGAGTGATGAGATCACCTTTCCCAGCGTGAGCAGAGACTTGTTGATACTCGCTCCCTCCTGGGAAAAATAAATAAATTCACATTACAAATATGTCAGATTTAAGATTTCATGATGCATTGCAGTATTTAGTAAAGTATTGTAATCCAATTCACCCCCATTTAAAATGTACAAAACAGTAAGCAGCGGAATGCACTGTGGGTAATCGTGACACAGAGTAAACAGAGCTACTGGATGCTGGATTACCCTGAGCCGGTCTCCACTGGTCTGGGCTGAAGTACAGCGCTCACTTCCAGCCAAATCCACCAGGTTTATCCGGCTGGTGATGCAGTGATCGTGCTCCTCTTCCTCCACAAACTCTGTCTGTGCACATGAAAACATCATCATATGACTACCACAAACACATCACTAAATTATTAATTTGTTGGCTGAAGTAAAAGTAGCATTTCATTGGAAATAAATCTGAGGGTCGTACTTTAGTTTGCATCATGACCAGAGTGAAAACAGAGTGTGATCTGGAGCTTTTATCGTTCATGCCGGTGGCGGCTGTGGCTCTTTGTTTGTTGCCGAGTTCAAGCCAAGTCTGTGAAGATGGGGGAGGGAAAATTGTATTAATGGTATGAACAAAAATAATATATGATCCATGTATAAAGTGAACAGATCCTTTAAATTACCTTAATATCAGCATAAGATGTGACTACATTCCTGAAAGAGAGCATAGAGATTAGTGACAGCGGCACAAAACAAAACAAAGAACAAAATAAATAAAAATAAAATAAATTACAACACAGCAAAACAGTCAAAAGAAAAACACAATGAAATAAAAACAAAACAAAAAAATAATATAAGACGAAATAAAACAAAAACTCAATAAAACACAACAAAATAACAAAACCAAAAATCTAAATAAAATAACATTTCATGAAATAACAAAAACTAAATAAAATAAAACCACAACAACAAAAACCACAATCAAAAAACAAAAACAAAAAACCATAAAAAAATAAAAACACAACATAACATAAAATAAACAACAAAACAAAATGTAAAAACACAAGATAAAATAACAAAACAACAAAAACACACACAAAAAAACTACACAACAAACAACAACAAAAAAACACAACTAAACTAAAAAAACTAAACAAAACAAGAACAAAAAAAGTTTCCATGGCCATAGTAATCCTGGTATTTAAATGAAATGTTTGCTTACGTGGACAGGTCTGCAACATAAGGCCCATAGACAGGATGCTCTCTGACACGCAGCTGGAAAAGACATGAAAAGGACTGAATAGCTGAACAGATCAATAAGGAAGACAAAGAAACTACAAGACATTTGTAGTATTTAAAGGGGTGGTTGATTGCGATTTCACTTTTGTAACGTTAGTTAGTGTGTAATGTTGCTGTTTGAGCATAAACAATATCTGCAAAGTTACGAAGCTAAAAAGTTCAATGCAAACGGAGAAATTGTCTTTTAAAATTCTGGCAGTTTAATGCCTACAAAAACGGCTGGTAGGGACTACGAGTTACTTCCCGGGTTCGTGACATCACAAACCCAGATAAACCCCGCCCTCGGGAAAAGGCAGCAAAGGGGGCGAGGCCATGCTGCGCTGCTTTAGAGAAGAGGAAGAGAAAACTAGAGGTGCACGTAAAAATCTATTCATATATGAATCAGATGAGGGGCGGGACGATTAGACGCGTACTAGAGGCGGTTTAGCCAATCACAACACACTGGGCTAGCTAACCAATCAGAGCCCAACACCTATTTCTGAGGGAGGTGCTTCATAAAAGCAGGAAATGATCAGCGCGTTCTCAGAGAAGGGACAGAGCGGTGTGGAATAAAGGTAAATTATGTGAAAAATAATGGTAAATAACGTTTTTTTAAAAACTAAGCATTAACACATGTTAGACTGCACCCCATAAACACAATCAAGCCTAGAAAAAAAAACTGTGAACCACCCCTTTAATGTGTTTTATTGAGTTAATGCACTTACAGGCATTTTCTTCTGGTTTTGCTCGTCCTTTGCCACCAGCAAATCGTGGATTTTCTCATTGTACACCTCAAAATAGCTCATCTCCAGATGGCAGGAGATCTTTAATAGAAAATAAATGTCAATCATAAATATATCATAAATAAATTCAATCATAAATTGTAAATAAATAATCATCAAATGGGACAGCAACCTCTTTGTTTTCAGTTCTAGACAATCTCGAGAAAAGTTCCTTGCAGAATCTGGGAATAACGCCAGCCTCTTCACCAAAACCCATCATACTAGAAAGCATCCAAAACGTCACTTTAAAAATATTGATCAGGGCTGCGTTTCTCAAAAGCATCGTAAGCCCGAGTAGATCGTAGATCCATTGCCACCAATGGTCTCTACGATCAACTTAGCTTATGGTGCTTTTGAGAAACGCAGCCCTGAATGGTTATTACTGTTAATACTGTAAGTACTGTTAATTAACTGTAAAAAAAAATACAATAAAATAAATAATGCAGTTTCGAAGAGAATCATCACTTACGTGTAGGACTTTCCAGAACCCGTTTGGCCGTATGCAAAAAGACACGTGTTAAATCCTTCAAATGCTCTTTCAAGCAAGGGCCGAGCCAGTTTTTCATAAACCACCTGCTGACTGGCAAAGCTTGCATCCGATTCATTAATAGAGCAAAAAGAGAAGTCAAAGGTAAATGTGTAGCTTTGTTTAGTATCTGGATGTTGCACAACAGTTTTGTGGTCGTTCATGAAGATGACTTGACGGGCTTTCTCGTTCTTCTCCCTACAAACACAAATAAAAAGCAAAAATTTTAGTACAAGTGGCACTGTGCACAATAAGATTAAACCATAACTATACTAATTAGATATTATATATAAAAATAATATTATAAATGTTATAAAATTATTATTATATTATATTATTATAATAATTAATATTATTACATAATATTACCATTCACCTCAAGCGGTCAAACTAAATATATATATATATATACACTAAAACACTAAATAAATATGTAAATAAATAAACAAATAACTATTTTTCAGTAGTCAATAGAAAATAGAGTATATTAAATTTAATATATCAGAAAGGGTAACAGGGTTGACTGATTAATGCATAACTCAGTAGGCGTTAGAGAGTTTAGGACCACTGTTGGTTTGTAATTAGTGATAGTTTATTTATTTCCAAAATAATATTTCCCAAAAAATTAGAAAAAAAATATTTGTTTGATATTTTTCTTTAAAATAAATTAAATAAAAGGGTCAAACAATTAAAGCTAACGAATGCTGTCAAAATTACAATGTGCATAAAAATTATGGAAAAAAAAGTGATTATTATTTAGGATGCTTGTCTTCCACCTTGCCACAATTTTATGA